AAGACGGTCATAAAACAAATCAAACAAATGTTTAATACTTGAAATCATAGTTAAAAACTGCTGTATGACTGTCTTTATTTTTGCAGTCTCATTGAATTACTATCACTTTTTAAATAATATTATATTTATTACAGTTTTTTTTATATGTCTATATAGTTTTGATACATTTTCATTTCAATTTTAGTTTTTGTTAATTTAGTACATCAAGTTAAATTAAATGAAAAAGAAAAATTATGTCTTGGCAACTATCTGAAATGAGATAAATGTAAGTTTTTTAAATATGTGACCCTGGACCACAAAACCAGTCTTAAGTCGCTTGGGTATATTTTTAAATATAAAAAAACATTGTATGGGTCAAAATTATCAATTTTTCTTTTATGCCAAAAATCATTAGGATATTAAGTAAAGATCATGTTCCATGAAGATATTTTGTAAATGTCCTACCGTAAATACATCAAAACTTAATTTTTGATTAGTAATATGCATTGCTAAGAACTTCATTTGGACAACTTTAAAGGTGATTTTCTCAGTATTTTGATTTTTTTGCACCCTCAGATTCCAGATATTCAAATAGTTGAATATCTGGCCAAATATTGCCCTATCCTAACAAACCATACATCAGTGGAAAGCTTATTTATTCAGCTTGATATGATGTATAAATCTCAATTTCAAAAAATTGACCCTTATGACTGGTTTTGTGCTCCAGGGTAACATATTTGATTTTATTTCAGTTAACATTAATTTTATTTTATTTCAAGTAACAAATATATATATTTTTTAATGTTTTTATTTTCTCATATAAGAAGTTTTTATCATAACCCTGATGACAATACAGATGCTGCTAGAAGATGTTTTAATTTGTCAAACGAAGGACCATAAAGAAAACTAAACTCTCCTTTTCAATTTAAAATAATTAGTTATCTTACTGGGAAACGGCGTTTGGCCCTAAAGGCCGCCACTCTCTTCAGTTCGTCCTCTGTGACGTTTGAAGGAAGGACCAGCAGAGCGGGATACGTCTCGCACACCTCGTAACTGCTGTTGACTTTACTGATGATCCAGCTCTCGTTTGGAAGACCCTGTTACCATCCACAACATCGACACATGTACATCAGAACATAATACCAAAATAATGACCTGTATTAACACATACTTTGCATAAGGTGAGTGGTGATGATAGTTCTTACCTGCCTCTTATACTCAGCGACTGGGTCGTAGATCTTCCAGCCATCTTCTGGAAATGACTCTCGGTACTTAAAGGCAAAGAGAGGCTGAAGGAAATGAGAGGGAACGTGTATCATTAAACACACTGAAACACCTTCAGCTACTGTACACATATGTGGGTGTTTTCAAAAAGTCGTACCAGGTTGTGGAAGAGAGGGAATGCGTACTTTGACAGTATTTCAAACACCTCCAAATTGCTCTGTCCCTCCTTCCTGTACGCAAACCGGGGGTTTCTCAAGTCCTGTGGTAAAAAACAAGAATTAATATTTGAAAGTGTGTGAAGTGAAGATAGGCAAAGGAAGAGGCCGAGAGGCAATGGAGAGTGGAATAAGACTGATGTGTCCTTTGCCTTGCAAACGATCTCAAGCCCTTGAGTGTTCTCTCCATGACTCTGAACGGCGATAGACTCCAGTCTGCTAATGGCTCCAAGATTCACATCCAGCACAAACGCAGGATCCTTTCCCAAACACAGAAGAAACGTTATCAACCAACCAAAACATCTGTGCTTGCTGAGATCCGAGAAAACACTTTTTTAATTAATCTACTGAGCCAGCACCTCATATTGTATTTTATACTGTGTCCTGATTTGCATACTTTTAGTGCATAGTAGAATTATGTACTTTGCAGGCCATAGGAAAGTCTAAACTTTTGAGTATGTCGAAAGAGCGTATGCCAGTATTAGGGCAAAAGCTAAACTTACTTTGGTTTTTAAGGTTGTGACACACCAAACCAACTTCAAAAAACTAGTGAAAATGAAAGCTGCTCCGCGTCACCTGGGTCTGAGCTGGAAAGTTGCGCTTGAACCTGCACATATGTTCTGCCTCTGCCCAAGGGAAAATAACTCTCCATACCAACAGGTGGCAGTAGTCTGTATGCATCATTCAAACAAGAAAACTGGAACGTGTGCTGCATCCCAATGTGCCTACTTATACTATGCCCTTAAAGTATGTACTCTTTTGGTGAAGAAAAAGTACACACTTTTGAGTGTGTAGTAGAAGAGTAGGCAAGTTTTGGGACATACGATCACGTTACACAATTGCGTCTTTAAAGAACCGCTCTGTCGCACCCTGTCACTGTAAACTGGCCTGTCAAACATCTTGTCACAGTAAACATCCTCCACATTTCATTTCATTTTAACTTCCTACCGTACTGGAGAGAAAAGTAGTAGCTCGTTGATCTGCCAGTCGCGGGCCTTTCATGCGGAGAACTCTGCTCATATTTTCTGCATAATGATGCATTTAAAAGTTAACGACCAAATGGATGTTTATAAAAGTTCACATTGCTATTGCAGATGAAATATAACACCAATAACAATAAATAAATATTTTTACCAGGTTAAATGTTGATTATTAGTAACTCAAACCGCGCGCATCCGCCACGTTTAACGCGTTTTATTCGTGTTTGTAAATCTGGACCGAATCCTTCGACAAAGTGCAATGGATTGTGGGCAATTTTAGCCATTAGAGTGTGCACGGATCCACACTTCAAAAATCGACCTGAAATAGTAGACCATCCGGGGACATTTGGCATACTCTTTTGACATACTATGCTTTGGGACGCAGTTATTCTAATCTCACATACTACTTAGGATGGAAAGTATGAACATTGGGACGCAGGGTAAGACTGTGGATACATAAACTGTAAACAAAGCAGCGCTTGCTTAACATTTTGAATATGAATCATGTTGATCAGTTGGTCTTTATTCGTTCCAGACAGTCAAGTCGTTATGAAAAGTCAAGTTATTGAAATGGTCAGGTAAGATGAAGATGTAAAATTAGAACATTCTTCTGTGTGTGCCCTCTGGAGTTTGTCGTTTTGCTTGCTTTCACCACTTTCGCTTTCAACATCTGTATTTTTTACTATAAACTACATTGCCTATTTTTCAAACAGAACTCTGATGTGAAGTGACACCACAGTCGGCTTTCAATGTCAGTTTGGTGTGTCACTGCATTCAGATGCCATAGAAAGTGATTACCCGCACCAGGCTTTTAAAGAAGAGCTTGTAGTCAGTGATGGTTAGAGTTCCCCTCACGACCCCAGAGAACGGACAGATATACATGACGTCCTTGACTGTAAAAAAAAAAACACCACAGCATACAAAGTTTATCTACCACTGACATGGACAACGTGTGGAAGACCTGAAACTATACTGTCTAAAAAGGCGTTGTTCACTGACCCTGTGACCCATATATTAACTTTTCTTTTTATGGTTGGTTTGCTATGCTTCATGATGGTTCTATACTAACACATCACGTAAAAAGATGCTCAATTATGAAAGCACAAGTGTTAAGTTCCTTACCAATAGCTTTGATGGTTTCTCCAGGAACGCGTGGGGCCTCTTCCATCTGAGCCTGCTTATTTCCTTCTCTGAGTGCCTGTCACACAAAACATTTTAATATGATACACATTTTCTGATTAAGGAAAAGATATTCTGGATAAGCGTTTACATGTTCCTATTGGAATATCCCAGTCTCATCATAATTTAGACATATATTCTGAATAAGGCATTTAAATTATACAAAATTCTGATTAATACAGACATATGCCAACTGTCTTAATATGATTTATAGAATACAGAATGTTGGCATTATATGTTTTTTACAATTAGGTTAATGTACTGTATTTTACATGACACTTACATAATCAGAATTTGACCACAATTTGATGCCTGCCCAAAAACTTGTGTAACATGTTGCCAGGGCATTGCTATGCAGTTGCTAGGATGTTGTAGCTGTTAGTTAGATAACTTATTAGTCATGTCATAAGAGAAAACCCAGAGCCCAATGTCTCTATGATATTCTGGTCCCTCAATATAGGACAAATTCTTACATTTTTTTTATTTTTATTACTACTATGTACACTATGAATAGTGATGCTTACCTTCATAAGTGCCATTTATTAGTAAACTATTGGGAAATAAAACTCTAATAAAACAGACATCCAAAAAAAATATAAAAATCAAACAAATACTGATTTATACAAATACAACTCAGTGTCAGAAAGATATAGAAAAGCTCTGCATGTGGTTTCCTTTGCTTCCACTCCCAGATTTTAAGTTTTCTCTCCGCTTAAAGCAAACAGTCCGTCCAATGCTTGAGGTTGTAAACTAAACACGAAAGGCAAGGCTGTGATTTAGAACACTGAAGAAAATCTGACATTATAAGCAAACTGCTGATGACGCAATTTCAGCAAGAGCAAAATATTTGAGATTCATATTTTTAGATGCTTTCATTAACTTTGACAGAAGGGAATATGCACGTCTTCACATTGCTAGAATAAACTCTGAACACCTCTGCAACCACACAGCAAACCATCTACACCACTCCAGCATCTCGATGATAAATTTAGCACCAGTAACTAGCAAAAATCGTATCTATATGCAGTATGAAAGCATTATGATTACTCTTTTCAGATCCAATGAATCACTAGTCAATGGCCCTAAAAGTTAATTTTCTGTGAGCACATTGTTGACAGTGAGCAGTAGGGAGCTCAGCGGGATGAGATGGGGCTCATGGGTCTGCTCCACCCACAGTGACACAACTGTTTGGCAGCTTCATGGACTCAGAGAATTCAGTCATTCTATTACAGTCCAGCTGCAGGACAATGACGACACTGTGGAGTTCAACAGGCTTGACCTTCACAAAGACAAAAGATCTATGGAGATCTGCTCAGCATTATGCTAATAATGCCCTGAAAAGATGGCACGGGGTGGTGATATTTCATAATGGCATGTGAGTCAAAACATCTGTATTTTCCACTCACACATTCAGTGATCTATATCAATAGTGTAAAATACAGTAAGGCATACTGGAGATTCAAATACAAATCATGCTCTTTCGACAGCATCTGTTAGTGCATTTACATGGACATGCTGGTAATTATCAAAAACAATTCATTATAATGTCCAGACAATACAATCCACATTTAGACATTTTTTCAAATTTTTTTGATACAAAACAGACAGACAAACAGTTGTTTTGATAGGTAGGTAGGTAGGTATGTAGGTAGATGATAGATAGATAGATTTAAGTCTACACTGCAAAAAAATTATTGTGATTTTAACGGTAAAAGACTGTAAAAATGCTACAGTAAAAACCTGTTAACAGTAAGTTTCCATACTATATTCGGTGAATAAATGTAATTACATTTAATGTGATTTTACAGTAAAATACTGTTAAAAATACAGTTTTTGGAAGTGAAAAAGAAAAAGTCATTGTATAATTTATGGTGAAAACCAGAATTCCCTGCATGACACTTCATATTTGAAGTTTTTCTTATCAGTTGTGTACATTAGGGTTTAATCTTACATCTAATGTTGTTAAATTAATGTTTATTGCATTATTTCAGTATCATGTGTGTCACCATGATGGGGTTTAGTGTTTGTGTGAATGACACTGTGCACTTTCTATATATAAGTATTGTCCTCCTCAGCTCGTAGAAAAGCTGTTTGTGATGAGTTTAGGTTCAACGTGTGACTTTCTCATCACCACCAGTTTTTGGTAGTTATCAGTGCATTACAATGGTTCAAAACAGATATTAGTACTTCAATATGTTGGTTTATTAACATTACATCAGTTAATGTAATGTCACGTCACTTTAATGAAATACGGTATTTTATTGTGAATTTAAGTTAAGTCTGTAAAACCTAAAATGTTGCTACCATATTTTTTACGGTGAAGTTCTGGCAACCACAGCTGCCGGTATTTTACCGTAAATGTCACAGATATTTTTTTACAGTGTAAGACAGACAGACAGATAGATACTTCAGTAAGTTAATAATCATGTCAAATAGTTAACAGAGTCTCTTACACACACACACACACACACACTTGCCGAAGAGGAGGCAGTCTGCTGAGGGTCACTGTCCAAGAGAAATTCTTTAACCTCCACATCACAGTCCTGCACCAAAGAAACACCACAACACCACAGAAAAACAAAGAGTGATGAGGAAAGAGAAAGAAGAAAGAGCAGAAACATTACAGTGCATGTGATCACACCAGAAAGTTTGTGGAAGTGCAGTCGTTTCAAGAAAATTCCATGCAGGTGTAATGAGGTAAAAAGGGGTCATATACATTTGAGCACTTTCCCTACTTTCCCAGATCTTAGATGTTAGTCAAGGTTTCTGCATCAACAACTCTGAACAGAACACTCTGATAGTGACTGTTTTTGAGGAAATCAACATATGATTGTCTTAGTTGACTGCATATTATCCCTGTAAAAACTGACAAATAAAATATATTCTAAAAAATAAATAAATAAAGTTGCAGTTGATCTCAACTTATAAGGGACCAATGTTTAAAGTACCTTTACTTTTTTTCTATCAGTCTCTTCTGGCCAAAATACGATTGTATAATCCATAATAACACTACTTCCAGTGAAAAAGTCCCCTGATGTCCTCACACATCAAAATCCACCAACATAGAACTGTTTAGAACTGTTTTCACTTGTAAATTGAGCTTTGTTCTGTGCGTATTTCTTTCCTGATTCAGATGAGATGTCTTTTTTTACTGGAGAAAGCATATATTATGAATAGACTACTTATATTTTAGCCGGAAGCAAAGGTTTAAAGTTAAAAATGACTTAATGATGGATTTGTTTCCTACAAACACACAGCT